AAAACCAAAATAGCACAAGGCAATAATGATTAAACTAAAAATTTAGAAACATTTAATAATATTCATAATAAAATGTGCAATTAAAAAGAACCACTTACATGATTATAAACTTAGTAAAACCACTCATTCCTTTATCTTCAAGAATCTTTTGTCTAAAATTGAATGTAAATTGTAAAAAAAAAAAACCCCCTAAGATGTTATGTTGTTATAACCTACCCGCAAGCAGCAGAAGTTTCCCATCTTATAATTAATGTATTCTCATTGTTATTATATTCTACTGTTGGAACATTGTCTTTCTGAAATTATTGAAATTGATTGAAAATGCATTCAAATATAATATTCAATTATTATTATTATAATTATTACTCACTTCTGTACAAATAAATGTAAAATTTGCTTGTTGTTTTTGTTCACCATAAATACCTCCATTCATTGTCATTAAGAGAGGACCTATCAAAGAATGAAATTTAATAACAAATAAAAATAAGCTTTTAATTTAAATATCAATTTACCAGATATATCATCTTTATTCGAAGCAGGTCCTAAAGCTATTACGGGTTTAAATATTCCATCATCGTAAACTCCAGCAATTGGTCTAATTGTTATAACTCGTGGGGATTTGTCATCTTCAGCTAATTTATTAGTTATGATTTGACAAATATATGTACCAGCTTTACAAGTATTACTATCTTTTTTATCAAAAGGTAAAGGTTCACAAAGATTTATTTGATAATTAGTGATAGTAAAAGTAGGAAACGTTTCTTCTTGTTCTGTAATATTCTGTAACCTATATTGAAAAGAAACATTTTAATAACAAACTTTTTCTAATAAAGGCTGAAGATCTATTTAAAAGTTTAAAAGAGAACTTAGATCAAACTCTTACAGCCCAGTGAAAACAAGGTAAAACTTAACTTGAGACTTGAAAGGTCAAATTTTATACCATCGACTTCTAAATTGGAACAGTTAAACGCGTCAATAGCAAGAGATGTTTGTCCTAATGCGAAGATCGCGAGTAAAAAATATAAGATAATTCTTGTAAATTTCCACATTTTCTTTTGAATGTTTTGATATAAATGTTGGTTTAGGTCAGAAATAATGGTTTCTCAAATCTTTCAATCACATCGCGATATCACGTGATATTTGTTCGTATTATAATATTACCAAATTTGGTAATGATCTATGACTGAAACATTTGCAATAGAAAAAATAGAAAGAACATATTTTATCTGAAATTCATATTTGATAAATAAAAGTAAAATTAGCATATATTATAAAGTTCATATTATAATATAATTTAATATTTAATTATATATAAAATTTATAATTTGCAATTAATTTATAATATTTTATATATAAAACTAGCTAACTACATACTGGTATTTTAATTTTAGTGTAATTTGAATAAAAATATCACATTTATATAACACACATAGGTCTTACTTTACTGATCAGTTTGTATAACTATAATTAGCAATTTCTAATCAATATATAGAGAAAAAAAATTTTATTTGAAAAATACTATTTTATACTTTATTATGGTGTAACCCAAATGATCTTTAGAAAACTAGAAGTGTGACGCAGTAAAGTGATCTGCAAATGATCATCATGTGAA